GTCATATGGCGTCAGTGATAGCATAACAAAGACACACACTGCGCCAACCTTACGCCCGCTTGCCCAGCGGAGGGAGGAGGGTGAAACCTTGGCGGGTGGCGAATCCATCTCTTGTCGCGCGACACTCTCCGGCGTAATGGGGTTTTCGTGCAGCGTAATGTGAGCAGCCGGTTCTGGCAAGGCACCGCGTTAGCGTGGAAGCAGCGGAATCTTGAGACCCGTAAAGTGAGGTTAACTGTATATATATATATATATATATATATATATATATATATATATATATATATATATATATATATATATATATATACGACTTTTTACGACAGGGTTAGGGACCCAAATCAGGTCGTAAGTCCGATGGAATAAAAAATAAAATAAAATTTTTTTTTCAAAAAAAAAAAAAAAAAATTCAAAATTTTTTTAAATTTTTTAAAATCTACAATGAAATACAGTACACTAAACGTAAAATAATGAGGAATGGATACAGTACAGTAAAAAGTAATAAATAATGAGAGATGGATACAGTGTGACTGAGCACTTACCTTAAATGTAGTCAGCTGAATGCACACAGGGCCCCCCTGTTTCTATTTACAGGATACATGGAGACTATATTAATTGGAAGAAGCAGAAGGAGACAGGGAGCTGGGTGGGTCATCAATGTCACTTTCTTCAGACAGGTTTATGTGCATGGAAGCGCTAGTTAGAAGAGTATTGGATCATCTTGAGGGTGGGGGGCACTGGTGGGGCGTGAGGAGCTGAGTACTGGGGGACTTCTTGGAAATAGGTGTCAATTTAGACTGCACAGTTTTCTTTTCTTTTCATTATAAATTTCTCTGTAGCAAAACTAGTGAATCTTGGATCTTCATCGCTTTTGGCATAGCAGCTCATAATTTTGATCCATGTCATCAAACATTGCATTGCTTTGATAATTATGTATTCTCTCTGCCATATGTTTTTCTGAAAACTTTTTTTGGGGGTGCAGGCTCTTCTTCTATTTTGTCTCTCTTCTTCCTCTGCAACTTTCTGTTGCATCTAGTTCAATAAGATCTCGTTGCTAGAGCTCTTCTGCCACCTTTCCTTCAACTGTCCAGCATCTTCGGTATCAATTTCTAACCAAAGCTGTTTACCTAAGTCCACTATCTGTATTGCTAATATCCAAAATAACTTCACTTTCATTAAATCCTTTGAAACTGTTCACATATCTTTTCAGGATTTTCTTCCATATTCCATTCATGCAATGTTTTTGTAACCTGATCCATGCTGCACTAATGTTCTTTATACATGACAAAATGTTGTACTTTCCTTCAAACTGTCTGGTTTCTCTGCCTTCAGTAGCATATAGCAGCCTGGCGGTCGTCTTTAAATAATATGCTTTAAAGGCAGAAATAGCACCTTGATCCATGGGTTGGATGATAGAGTAGTGTTAGGTGGCGTAATCTTTCTGTAACATCAGGGTGCATGTCGTCCAGGTGTATGGTGGAGGTGTCCCCGGAGCATTATCCAAAATCAGTAAAATCTTGAATGGAATCCTTTTGTTGCAGACAATACTCCTTGGCTAGTGGAATGAAACAGTCATGAACCAATCCTCAAATAATTACTAGGGTCATCCAGAGCTTTCTTGTTACTAGATAAAACACTGGCAGTGTGTGCTTGCTGACATGTTTAAAAAGCCCTGAGTTCTCTGGATGATAGATCATGAAGGCTTTAGCTTGAAACCAACAACATTTAACAGAGGTGAATTCTGTCCTTGAATGCCAGCAGATCCGGGCATTTTTTGCCTCTTTGTGGATGTATGTCGGTCAGGCATGCGTTTCCCTAATAATCCAGTCATCCACATTGGGAATATTTGCTCTGGCAAATAATTCCTTCCACAATCACATCATCTAACTCCTCCTTCAGCTTCGGCAGCACCAACATGTACTAGCCTCTCCCTCACCTTAACACTGTGTAGACTGTGGCGTTTTTTTAAATCTAATAAACCACCCTTGACTTCCTGTAAAGGTTTGATCCACATTCATCTCCTGCCTGCTCCTTCAGGCTTTGGAACAGGCTTCTTGCTTTAGCCTGTATGGTTCAAGAACACTTAGGGTACCTGCGCTTCTGTATCTGGTCTTCTATCCATATCACCAATAATTTTCATATCGTGGATAGGACCTTGTCTTTTCTTTGTTATTATAGTTCCTTTATAGGTGTTGTTCCTTTCACTACTTCACGAATCGTTCCTTGTCCTTCAGAATAGTGGATATAGTCAGTGTGAAACCTAGGTCGCGTGAGATTGTTGCTGCTGTTTTTCCATCTCATACTGTGTTATTATCTTCAGTTCCATCTCTCAAAGTAATTGCCTGTCTCCTTTTTTCTTGAGTCACCACCAGCACTCTCACTTTACGCTTTCCAGAGTCATTATAAGTCAATTAAATACATCCATGTAGTTTACGTGATCAGTATAGAGATCGATAGCCAAGCACAAACAGCGCTCACTGGTGAGAATTGCATATGAGGC